GGGGAGCTCATTCCACTCGTGAGGACCTGAGAAGGATAAAGAACGCTCGCCGTATGTTCTGTAGTTTCGTTTTGGGGTTCTAAGAATTAGTTGGTCAGTGGCGGATCTAAGGATTGTAGGTGAGTGATATAATTCCCCGAATCGTTTTAAACATATTATTATAGGTACAGTATCATTTAAACACTTAAAACAGAAAACGGAAGTTTTGTATTTGATCCTTTGCTTCACTGGCAGCAAATGTATTTCTTTCAGAGTAGGTGTTACGTGCTCTGATTTCTTTCGTTTCATTATCAATTTTGATGTTTTTATTTTGAAGGGCTTTGTAACTTTAAATATTGTTCAGCCGTCAAACCGGGTAAAATAGCATTACATTCACTGAATAATACACATAGGCCTATATATACACGCACACACATGTGTAAATACAAGCACAAGCACTAACACACACACGACTTGCATACATACATACATTAATGCACAGTATTGTTTTGTCAGCACTTTGCTTCCACTTTTTTTCTTATTTCTTCAAAGCGGCTGTCATTTCTTTTATTCAGAGGGATGGCCTGGTGGTATTTGTGAAATGCTAATAGATAAATAGATATAGATAGATAGATAGATAGATAGATAGATAGATAGATAGATAGATAGATAGATAGATAGATAGACAACAATCTTGAATCAATTAAATAGAGCGAACCGAACGTTTAAAACAGAATACATTTGGTAAAAACAAAATAAAATACAACGGAACAAATCAGAACAAAAAGATATTATTAGAGTATGCGTCCGACCCCCAACCAGAGATCGGAAGGCTCAGACTGAGTTGAGTGCAGATCTGTCTACCTCTCCGGGCGAGCTCCAGGGCTGTAACTTTGCCTATCCCGGCGTTCCCGCCAGTTATGACCACTGTCTTCCCGTCCAGCCTCTCCGTACCCGTGTACACAACACCACGCATGTACCGCCTGGAAGGATAATACGATGCATGATTGGGTTTTTTTTACGAAAGGGTCGGTTATACATGTATATATATTATATATAA